GAGAGAGAAGAGAGAGAGAGAGAGAGAGAGAGAGAGAGAGAGGAGCTCGCGTCGAAGCAAGCAAAGTTCAAAAATCGAGCAAAAAGCCCGAGGCGGTTGGTTGTTGCTACGCGGCGACTATCGATCATTTAGGAGGAGGCAGACGCCGCGACTCTTGGAGCGTCCGGGTGTTCGGCCACGAAATACTCTCGCGTTCCGCGCCGCGGGTTCCTCGCCGATTCGCCAGTTCGCGAGCTTCACTCGCCGATTGGCCGGGACTTGCACGCGGTACGCGATCGATACTAACGTTCGAGAACCGAAATATGTTTAGGATCTCGTTTATCCGAACAGGATAAACCGAATAATCGAGTGCCTATGTAGTTTCGATACCAGAGATCCGCTTCGTATCTTCATCAATTTGGATAATGGAAATTTTAACGTTTATATTCGTTCCTTGAACTGGTTTTTCTTATTCGATACAATTAGAATATAATTGGTTCATGATGCCACTAAAGAAAATTACACAATTTCATTGATCATTGATTTTGATAATTTTACGCTTTGGAAATATAAAATTATAATTATTATTTCGGTAAATTAATCGTAAAATATAAAGAATTCGTATAATTGAAAATACGTTGATCAAATAAACGAAATTTTACCGTATCGTTTCTCCTATCCGACGGCTTTCAGATTCGTGTATCGAGCGATTCGCATGGTGTTCGTCGATCGATCGAAAGAAAATGGTGCCGGCGGCACTATGCGATTAGCCAGCCGGAAACTCGAGAGTAAAAAAAAAAAGGAACCGGAAGCTAGTTTCTTCTCTTGATCTTCGCGCTCTCGAGTCTCTCCCCACCACCGTGCTTTGCTCGCGCGCATCATCCCTCTCCATGAATTTCTCCCCTGTCGTTCGACTACCGACTCATCGAGTCACTCGTTTCCCAGCTAGTCGGTCTAACTCTCTCGCCGCGGGGTTTACTCGCAACGAGCGTCTCTCTCTTCAACAACGATCTCGCTCGCTTGCAATTCGATTCTTTCCACCACCGTTAGTTTTCTTCTCCACCACGAAGCCATGGTAGATACACGTAATTTATACGTACCTTATACAAGATAAATCGCGAAGAAACACGACGAAGCAATCACGCGAGTGTCGATGATGAAATCGGTCAACACGTTTCGTAATACGATGCTTTCTTCTTCCGAGACGCAATGCGGCACGGTTTACGAAAAAAAAAAAAAAAAAGAAAAAAATCATCCTTTTTCAATCCGTTTCCTCGGCGTGTCTCGTCTTGACTCGTTACGTTCGTAAATATCGTAACGACGAAAACACAAAGTTGACCTACATTCGTCGAGTCTCGTGTATTTCCGTTCGCAGAAAATATCGTAGCGGCATTGAACGCAGGTGCGGCGACGTTACATAAGACCGCCCCTACCGCCCCTCCCGCGTCGACCAGTGGCGAATATTGACGAATATGGACGAGCATCCACGAATCGTTTCTCATTGTCGGAGAAACGATGTGCGAGTAATCACGCGGTAGAAGAACGATTACAGTGCAATGGGAACGAGTTCGAATCAGAGTTCGATTTCAATTGAAATCGTTGCACCATCCAACGATGCATCCATTCGATGCCTTGCCTAGCAACAGGCGTCTCAGGGGTTATCAACCCTTCTTCGTCTCGTGATTTTTTTTTCATTTACTTTTCAATCTTTTGAACAATGTATGTGCGAATACTTCTTTTGAAACATTCGCTCGACACGTTTCATCATCGATCTGTTCCCGCTTCCGCGTAAGTCTTACGGCTTTAAGTACCGGTGAGCTGTGTCGCGCACTTAAACGATCGTCTAGCTGTATAAAAAATATATCTCTTTCTTTTTTATATTATATAGTCTATTAAAAAGTGTATATAAATTTATTATTACGAGTGGAATTTAATTATCTTTTTATTAAGTTAAAATAAAATATTTAAACAGTAAATTGTTTAATCGAACATTTTTAAATGCTTCAATTCTATATTATAGAAGAGTGAATGAAATAAAGTGAACTTGATCGTTTGAAATTTCACTTTGTTTCAAATTATTTATATTATATTAATTTTTAATTATATAAAAAATGTTTTAGATAAAAATGATTTTAAAAATAGATATATTTTCATATTATTAAATTTTTTGTATGTAATCAAATAATCTACAAATTAACTTTTAAATCAAATTCGTTTTCTTATATATGTGTAATCGTGTATTTTTTTTTTTAATAAATTTTCGATATAAATAATTTAAAACTTTTTTTTTTTTGTAAGAAATAAAAAGCTACGTTAAAAATTATATAATTCTATTAAAAAAAAAAATAAATATAATTTTCATAAATTATTTATGCATCGATTTACAAAAAAAATTCATAATATTAGAATATCCTTTTCTGAAAATTAATTTCAATTTTTATCTAAGACATTTTTTTTAATATTATCAAAAACAAGCAAGATACGATCAAGTTATTCTGCCTACATAACACTTACTGTATATATAAAAATTTTGATAAATATGTATGTCGCTAAAAATAAGTTAACCATAATAATTTAAAAATTTTAAGATCGAAGATCATACTAATATACATTAATGAATGCACGAGTAATGTTAATTATAATATGTAAAAAAAAAAAAAAAAAAATTGTACATAATATGCGTGATCTTGAAGAAAACATTAAGATATGATATTTATAAGAAGAATTTTCTTTCGTGCGTGATTCATCTTTTAATATCAATTAAATTATATAATATAAATATTTTTTCTCCTAATAAAAAGAAGATATTTAAGTAAAATATTTTATATATTATTTTTACATATACAACATTTTTATTTATTCAAAATAATTTAATATAGTAAAATACAAAATTTAAACAACAATTTTTCAATCGATTAATTTTACGAAACAGGAATATAGAAATTTTTATGCATGCATATTATGAATAATTATTACAAGACGAGATAGAAAAAATTACGATATATACGTATATTTTCATACATATTTTATATAGAACGAAGTGTTAATAGCCAATACTTCGTAGGCGGACTATAGATAGACAGTACTTATGTAACATAACTTATGAAAAAAAGTATCAAAAACTAATTGATTCGAGACTAGAATTCGAATAATTGAAACTACAATGACGAAATTTTAATGAAATTCTAACCAAACTCACAAGAAGTTAGAAATAACAATAAATATATAAGTATAACTAATAAAAAATATTTTATTACAAAATTAGAATACATTAGTTCTTTGCAAAATTCACGAAGTATAAAATAATTCAATGTCACCACCATCAAAATTTATTACAAGAGTTAATCTTGTTATGAAAATTACGAAAAATCTGTACTTAATAAAAAAAAAAAAAAATAAAACGTGTAAAATTTTCGAATAAAAATAAAATAAAATAACATACAAATAAAACAAAAATTGAAATTTAAATATATTGAATGGTTAAAAAACGATCGAAATTTTGACTTTTTTTATTTTTCGCGGTCAGACATCTGTTTCATTATAAACCGTGCAACGGTAACGTTCCGCTCCGATAAATCGAAACTCCGTGACCAAGAGAGTCCACGTTCGAGTGAACGTTGCGAACGAAAGCATGTGGAAAAAGTGGGAGCACGTCTTCCATTTAACTTTCAACTTTTCTTCCTGCCCTCGAACAAATCTTTTCACGATGCAATGCGTTTTATATTCGCAGGAATCGGTGCGGTCACGCGTGGCCATGGATTTTACCGGAAGCGTGGGAAGGATCGTGGAAGATCCGAAAGAGGCGAAGAATATCGCCGAGAACGAAGGGATAAATTGGCGGCGAACGTGGAGGCCATTCTCGAGGCCACCTCAGGGTTGCGCTATGGTACGACTGCACGGATTGGACGATGGATTTCATGTTTTGCAACCATGGTTTCACAGAGGATTGAAAAGAGATATCGCCGCAGCGATAGTTCGAGACCACGGTTCTGTTGACGGGTAAGCTGTGTTGACAACGAATCCGAAAATTTAGTTAAATGATAAGTGATAATACTTTAAAATGCTCGAATAATATTTGTTACATAGTTTTCGCGTAATTTTGATTGTTACGATTAATTGGGTGTGGTTGGTTTCGATAATTCTCGAATAACAAATTGTTAATTTTAATGTTGAAATTTTGAATCTATCATTGGTCGTCGTCGTTGTAGATCCGTAGCTGTCGGTCTTAAAATACACTTGTACTATATCTTCTTGTTCTTTCAGCGTATTCCTGGTACGGGAAAGCAAGAGCAATTTGGGCGCATACGTGCTCACATACAAGTACAGTGAGAAGGTATTCCACGCACAGATTCAGCCTGTAAGTATCTAGGTTCTTAACCTTTTGTTTGCAATGGATTACAAACTTTATCCAGAATTAACGATGAATATAATATTGAGATAAATGTTTAAATATAGTGTAAATAATACACATATATGTAATAATAATAAATATTTAAAATATGTGATAATAACATTTAAAAATTGTAGTAATCATTTATATACGTTCTGGATATTAATATATTTGGGACAATTTTGAAAGCTTGATTCTAGTGGCCAAAATAAATACAAAGTTGATATAGAAAAATAAGTTAAGATTAGATGAAATGACATACAGATAAAGTGAGATTACTCTGTTATATCACTGTCTTTACTCTCTCATTCTATCCAATTTAAATTTTACAATTTAATAAATAAGTTTATAATTATTATAAATAATATTACAATATTTTTGCAAGTTTTTTCTGTAACTAACTTTTGTGCTTGTTGTTCTGTCTGTATGAATCCTCTAAAAATATCCCAACGAATAATACTTATACATTAATCTTATATAATTCTAATATACTTGAACACATTATAATTATTTATATATACGTTATAGGCGAATAATTTTCCGTATTAAATTTTCTTACTTCATTTTACATTTCTATTCTTCGTTTATCCTAGACAAGAAATTTATCATAAGTAAATAAAGCAACAAATCACGTGCTTCCTTCTTAGTCTTTCACTTGCGCGTGAGTAAGAGCTTCGTGGCCCTCCGGGGATATTCGCGAAGATCATAGGTTAAGAATCATAAATCTAATATGTTTCTCCATTCGTTGATCTCGCAATCCATCTTGATGATTATTACACGTTAAACTGATTTCAGGTTTTCGACGAGCGATGCAATTGCTGGCTGTACACTCTTGACAAAGGCATAACCCGTTTCTACGACCTGCTCCAACTGATCGAATTCTACCAATTGAACGCGGGCTGTCTGCCCACCCGGCTAACTCACTACGTGCAGAACGGCGTACCCGAGATGCTTCCCCTTCCTGTTCCTGTACCGTTGCAGCAGGAAGATGGCGGAGGGTCACCACCATCGCCTATCGAGCTCGATCGACGGCTGAGCAGTAACGTAGGTGGCGCCACTACCCCCATTTCTGCCGCTTATAACGCCGGACATAAGAGTATCTGAGGATAGGAATTCCAGCGGCCCGCCAGTGTCGAAGAGCGTCTCGTCACGGCCGACTGTTCCCTCGACTACGCTTCTCGACTGAACGGAATCGCAAACGAGAACAGGTCCGGTGACGCGAACGTTCGATCTGCGCGCTCGGGTTGCTGGAGTTTGTGTTTGTGCAGCTACAGTAAATGGAATTTGTAGCGTGAATTTTCTGTAGCCAGACAGAAAGAGAGAGAGAGAGAGAGAGAGATAGAACGCCTCTTGTGGCTAACGCTAGTTAAAAAACAAAAGGAAAAAAAAAAAAAAGAACAAAAAGAAGAGGAGAAAGAGAAATGATACAAATCGATACGATATGTATATGAAACCGATATATAATGAAAAGTGAGCAGAGCTTTGCGGGCTTGGACCGCAATATTACGCCCATCTTCGTTTCCTACTTCTCATTTCAGTTCACGCGTAACCGTAAATGGATTCGTTCGTTGTGGTTAACTGGTATTTCAAAAATCGGCTTTGATAGCGGTTAATCAATCCCGATTTTTCGAGTCGTGTGCCACGGCGCGATGCACGCTCGATTCATTGATCGATCGTGTTTACGAATCGATTTACAGATATGATAATTTTTTTTTCAAAGGAAGCGAGGATCAGGTGCAGTAGTAGTGGCATAAGGAAAGAAACGAGTATTCGTTATAGAGGTCACGTTATATTATTAAGACGATTATCATCGATGCAAATTACGATAAAATATATATTTTGTACGAACAAGTAGTAGGATAAAAAAGTCGATTCGCGATCCTTGAGATCTCGACGTCTATTCGACGAAGAACAATAAAATATAATCCATAACTGGAAAATCACATTTATCGTGTTCTTATTTTTTCTTTTTCCTCACTCCATTTCTAGCTCTTCCCCTCCCCCAATGCATTTTCTTGGAAATGTCTCCTTTGATATATATATACTTCCCGATATGTTGTAACACGACAAAGGTCGACGTCGAACACTGTACCGTTCGCAACAGGTACGTACGTAGGATACGACTGTAATGGCCGAGAATGTATTCCGGCAGGTATCACGGCAGGCAGCAGGAGGAGGAGCATCGTCGTCTTTCGGCCAAGAAGAGAGAGAGAGAGAGAGAGGAGAAGGGGGATCGATGAACGTACGGAGAGGTGGAATTCAGGTGCGAGTCGTAGTTTGCTTCACGATCCTCAGTTTATCGTGACCAGTCGACGCGACGCAGTCTGATATTTACCCTCCGGTGCCTCGTTCTCTTTCTTCCTTTTTTAAACATTGTCACGCGCCTCCCAGTTCAAAATCGACGAATAAAATCTCTCGGTATTGTCTCGTTCGTGCGATTACCGAAATGCGAATTGATTCGGCTCGATCTCGACAATACAGGGTACAACATTATCCACCGATTCGACGAATTTTTAGCAAGTAAGTTGCGTGAACACGTTACGCATCGATCGATCGAATTCGAAGCGCGTTCGACATTTTCTCGAAGGATCAATCGCTCCGAGAGAATTTTCATAGTCGGAGGATCCAACTCGTTTCGTCGAGGTAGCGAGACAGCGCATGCGCAAATCCTCGGACGAGGAACTCGGAATCATCGTTGATCAATTTAAAATCTTTTTTCGAGAATGGACACGCCAATTTTATTCCCTTTTTAAACGGTCAAATATTTCATTTCGTTCGAAGGGAAGAAGGATTAACGATCAAATACACTCGTTGTTGCCGCGAAAACCTCGTTTATTGAAGCGACGCCTCCGCCCTCGAGAACCGGTTCGGTGACATTCCCGTCGATCGTTCAAGCGGCTATAACTTTTATCCATAGAGAAACGGTTAGGTTCTCTCGATTCTCAAGGAATTATTTCAAGATGTTGGTCCATTGCTCGTTATTCGTTTCTAACAAATTTTCTTTTGCTCGTCGATAGAGTTCGTGCACCCACGGTACCAGGTACGACCGACCGGTTCCCCTTCCCTTCTCTTTTCTTCGTCCTGGCTGCTCTCTCTTCTTCCGTCCTTTCTCTCTCTCTCTCTCTCTCTCTCTCTCTCTTTCTCCCTCTCCCTTTTCCTGCGTCCAGCATTACGCCATCCGAGCCGGACGACGATGGATCGAGGTATTCCATTCGGTAGAAACATTGGACATCGAAGGAGCGTGGACTCCCGGCGAGCGTGTAGAGTGACGCTTCGGAATTTCCACGCGGCGCGGCGTGGCACGAGGCGATCGAAACTCCACGAGGTCGAATCGGTCGGCGAGCCGACGATCGCGTTTCGAACTGTGGTCGTTCTCCGCGATACCACCGATGAGTCACACTACGCGTTCGCCTCGTTTCCCTCTCGCGCCCGTAACCACCGATCTTTTCTATCGCGCAGTCGAACAAAAATATTACACATGTACACGAAACGCTGTTTAAACGCTTGTTATTCAAACATTGAATGATATATATATATATATTTATTTATTAAGTTAAATTTTGAAAGTAAATATAGAAAGATATCAAATTAGTGATTTATTCGGTTCACTGTGAATATTTAATTGATTCATTTTATTTATTACAGATATTATAAATATTGAATAAGATTAATGTTTCTATATTGCTCAAAGTAATTATTAAATTATTACCTTCGAAGCTTGAGTTTAATACATATTTTTTTTGCTCGATTCACTTTCATATATTCGTATACCAGTTTTAGAATTTTCGAAACGCATGCTTGGTTTTTGCAGGACGAGTATGTTTCCAACTCAGGACGGTTTTTTCGAGCATCGTTGACTTCGAATCTCGTATTCGTCGTAGGAGACGATAGCGCACACCGTGTCACGATACGAGGATGGATTCGACGACGACGACAACGAGGTTGTTGATCGTAGTGCTGTTGGTGATCGGCACCACGACCGCCGCGTTGAATCACGACGGAGCGAAGTGTGGTGAGAAGCATTGCTCCCCCATCGAGTATTGCAGTAGCTACGACAAAAGTTGCAAACCGTGTTCCTCCATTTGTAACAAGACTGCTCGCAACTATCTGCCCCAAGAGTGCTTCTCCGATTGTCAAGGTGAGCGTCGACGTTTTCTCCTCCGCTTGAAACTCGGTCGAATCGATATGTTTCGGAATCGATCGAGGAAAAAGCCAGGTAACAGCCGGGTCCCTTGCACCTGAAACACGAGGGGGTTCGAGTCCGTTGACTTTACACCTGACCACCGTCCCTCCGTCGACTTCCCCACACGCGACCAACCACGATGACTCATCCGACCTGCCTACCTGCCTACCTGCTTTCTTTTCTTCCTCGTTCTTGCTTGCTCTCCCCCCTCCCTTCTTCTTCTTCTTCTTCTTCTTCGCTCGTCGCCCCACCTCTCGCCCCACCCCTCTCCTCGCCGTGCGAGCAACCGTCCCTTTTGAAACGTCCCGTTCGAAGTCATTCGAAAATATGTACTTTCGCTGCCGCGGAAAATTTTCTTCGCCCTCATCCTTCCTTTTCTCTTTCCAGTCTATCTTCATGACGAGCGATACGTTCTTCTGAATGAGTACGAAGAGTTGCGAGGTAAGTGAAATTTATCAAATTTATAAATGTTTTGTGAATATCGATTACACTGGTAAACAAAATTTTTGTTATCTGTTTTTTATTATATTTATAAATCTTGAATCTTTTCTTTGTTCTCTAAAAGGAATAAAATGAAAAGAGGTTCTTAGAAAAGGGGATCTCATATTTTAACACAGTTATATTTTAATAAGCTTAGAGACGTGCTTTTTTAAAAATTTTTTCTTGTATTGGACAAAATCTTAATGAAATAACATTGTTTTTATTAAAATTATCAGCATTTACAAACACTTTGTTGAACAACAATAAGTTGGTCAACAATGGAACGCTTTTGTTGTTGAAAACACGATTAAAATTTTGTTTTTTGCCAAAATTGTAGCATGAAATGAAACATTCATTTAAAATTATTTAAAATTAATAAAACAAAATTTTTATTTTTTAAAATAAAAACTATTAATTTATATAAAATAATTTTATATATATATATAATATTGAAATTAAAAAATGCAGAGATAAGTAGACAAGTTTTTTTTATAGAACTTAATAATAATTACAAATATATAAATTATTTTTTTTTTTGTACAATTTTGTACAAACAAACAGCATATTATGAATTTGGGAAAGAATAAATATACATTAAGACAAACATTATAAAAAATTTTATTTTACAAAAGAATTACTATTTACATTATTATTTGAGATAAAAAGTCGATTAACTTTTCAAAGAAACTCTCTTTGTATTTTCTCTTTGTTATCTCTTTCATATGATGATAATTGTTTTCCAAGAAAATACATGGCAAACTCGTCATCATCATATTTTTCGTATTTGAATTGTATTATTTGAAACATATGTTTGATGCCATATGAAAAAAATTATTACGACACATGAAAATTATTGTTAACTCAAAATAAAGTGTAAGAATTGTATAATCCAATGTTTTATTCATTAATTGTTAATTAAAAATAAAAATTTCGATGATTCATATCATTTTTTCATTTACATTTTTTGTTTCCATTTTGGCTAACTTTTTCTATCAGTACATATAAGATTGTACAATTTATAAATATTAAATTGTAGATCGTTCAAAAATTATGCATAATAGAAATGAATGAATAGATTGTTTGAATCCAGCATAAAAAATATAATTAAAATTCTGATAATATGATAAAGAGAAAACAAAAATTTTGTAAAATCAATGTTAACAGCGATTTTCAACTTTATCTCACAGCACACACAAATTTATTATAATAAAATTCTATGGTAAAAAAATATATTTATACTATTCAAAAGTTATATAGAAATAGTTATATTCTTAGTTATATACGAAATAAAAAATCTTTTGCAAATACTATAAAAATATAATAAATTATAAAAAATGTTATAATAAATATTTAGTTTGATAACTATTTTAAGCAGAGAAAAATTAACAAAATTTATTTTGATAAAACAAAAATTTTCTTACATTCATTTAACATTTTATCGTTTTCCTTTTCGTTTTATCTTATTTTATTATCTAAGAAAATTTGATTTGTAATAAATAAATTTAATATATATAATTTTTTATGTTTTTATTTGAAATTTTTTTTACGAATTCTTTTGTGAATTCTTGAATAATAGTGTACATGTAGAGTATTCATGCTATTAATTCTTAACATTTTTTTTTTAAATTGAAAAAAAAAATTGGAAAAATTAAAAGCTTCATCCTTTCTTTATGCATAACTTGATAACAAGATAAATCTTTTAAATTTATAATGCTATTATTATATGAAATGACGATCGTGAATTTTAAATTGATTTCCATATTTCTTTTTTATATTTTATAATAAAATAAATTCAGCAATTTGATAATGCAGCGATTTTTTTTTTTATTTCATGATAATATTCATATAAAATTATGTACGTGAGAAAATGAATTATATTTCTTAAAGTGAAATATTTGTGAATAATTTCTAAAGAAAAATAATATATTTTTTTATTTTTGTTTCAAAGTAGAAATAAAATATTGAAAAATTTAGAATAGAAATATTTATTACTTTACTTTAATTTACACAAATAAAACATAAAAGATATTAAGTATAACTATTGGACTTTTTATACACAGTACATTTATTGAAAATTTCTTAATAATAAATTCTAGTAGAAAAGACGAATTCTTTTTACAAATATTTTTCATATTATATATGTTTATATATGCAATATTTTATATATAAAATGAATATATTATTTATATTTTTCTTCTAATAATCAATAATTTTTTATTCGTATAACACAATTTAATATTACAATTATAATTTTAACTATGTATTCTATATAAAACTTCTGATATTAGAGATATTATAAAAATTTATTAATAATTGTTACATGATATCTTATAGAAAATTATCTGTCCAGCTCAAAAAATAGTGAGAAAATTTTTATATAGTTTTATATAATTTTAAACAATATCATTAGAATTTAGATAAAATAAAATTATTACATATTTTTTTACGTATTAGTTGAATACTTGCGTTGTTAATTGCATAAAAATCTTGTGATAAGATTTAACGAGTAAAGAAGCAATTGATATTCGTGAAACAAAATTCTTCTTTCGCGTCTTCAACTTTTGAAGTTGATATGTCTTCGACGAATCAAAATCTAATTAAAAAATTCGTGAAATTCCACGATTTTGTCACCGAAAATAAATTACTTTTCACATTCTCCTACTCATTTTTCTTTCACTATCGCTCACTCATTAAATTTTATCACATAATGGGTTAAGCTCTCTTTAAAGTCTTGGCAGGCGCTACCATGAAATGTTAAAAAAAGAATACGCGTATTAATTTAAAAAAAATTATGATATCGTCGTTTCATAGTTATCATTGTAAATTTAAAAAATTTATTCTTATTATATTTATTACGTTATTTATAAAATTAAATCGAGTGAAATTTTTGTCTTGTTCATCTTTTGAAAAAATATTATTTGTAGCAAAAAACAATGGGATGAAAAATTCTTAGAAAAAAAAAGTTTTTTCTTCGTTTAAAAGTTTAAAAAAATAAAAAAGACATCGAACTTCATTTTGAAATATCACTTTTTTTTAAATGAAAATAATTTTTTTGTTTAATAGAATAATTAATAGAAATATCAGATAAGAATAAACAAAGATAATATATATATATCGATTTTCAGTTTAAAAGTATATGCATTGTTAAAAAAATTATACATTAACTTATAAATTAAGTATTAAAAATTCTTAATATATTATATGGTTTATTTTAACGCAATAATTCTTTAGGCAGAAATTTTTATTATTTATTTAAACATCAGATCAATGCCATTTTGACAACAGAATATTCACAATCATCCTTCAAATTCATTATCGTGAAAATAACTATAATTTTGTATCGAAACAATTAATTGATTTGAAATATAGTTGCTTATTATACAATTAGATATATCATTCAGATCTAGATGTTTTAAGAAATTTTCAAATTTACATCACTTTAATTAATTACTTTTTGAAATTATTGAAGAAATATTTCATAAAAAAAAAAAATAAATAAATAAACGTATTTGCAATTAAACGATTTATTTAACATTTCAATAAATTATTAATTTTAAGATAAAAATAATTAATATATTTTTAATATATATATATATATATATCAAATATTCATATTATTATTATTATTGTTATTATATGTTAGAGATAATGGGATATAAAAAATATATTTTTATTTTCTCAAATAAAGAATATAATCTCAATTGAAATATATTACTTATGCATTTGCTCAAACAATAGTAAAATTATAAATTAACAAATATTATAAATAGTTTTATTTTTAAATTATTTTTAAAAATTTGAATTAAATTTATATCATTATATATGTGGTGTTTTTTTTTTTTTTTTTTTTTATATATTACTTGAAATAAATTCCGCACAATTTAGGATGACTTTGTTCATTTTTTAATAAGATGAGAATTATAAGGTAGCCGCAAATTACAAAGTAAATGTTGTTTATCTCATAATTGTTTAAAATAATTATCTAAGAAATAAATTTTTATTTTTTGAATTATCTTAAATAATTTATTTCAAATTATTTTAAATAATGTCATTTTTCACAAGTATCTAATAGATAATCTTAAATTTTAATAGATAATATTATGTAAGAATTTATGTAAATTAATATGTGAAATATACATATATTATTTATTATATGTTTACGATAAAATATTTTACGATTATTTTAACATTTATTTACTTTGCCAAATTTAAAATTAACGTATAATTACACTCGAAATTATTATTTTAAACAAATTGATATTCTGTCAAATAACATTGAAAATAAATTATTTCAAATAGTTTATCTTTTGTTCCAATCTTAAATAAATTTAGTTACAACATATTGGTTAAAAATCGCTGTTCTAAAACAATTTATATATGTATTATATATATATAGATGCTGTATTATTACATATTGCAATGGAACTATCGATACAAACGAGAGATTTAAGTCAATTGCTCATATGATACCATACGAAACATCTACTATCATATTATTATAAGTGAATCATTGACTTAACCTCTCAATATCATATATCTCATAAAATATCGTTTCTTCACAAATATTGTTTATTTTATAATTATTTAAAATAATTATCTACGTAATTTTAAATTATTTTAAATAATTTATGTTAAATTGTTTTAAATAATACAATTTTTCATAAATATCTACATTTTTAATAGATGATAAAATCCTAGAATCCGTCATTCTTTATGATATATATCGTACCATATTGATTTTTTGACCTTATATCCTCATCGAATTAATAACCAATAAATATCTAAATATAATGTATTATATAAGAAATCTTTTACTCATAATGTCAAACAGTATGAAAGAGTAAAGTATAGTATAGTAATATGTACCATACAATGTAGAAAGGACGTTTCTAGTAATTCTGAAATTAAAAAAAAGACAGAGACAATTTCGTGGAATTTATTTATACAAAAGTATGCTTTTAAAATTCCAATTCGATTTTTATTGTTAAGCTGTTAAATCCATTAATCTTTGCAACATGTAATCAGCGTCTATTGGGCTTACTTAAAAAAAAAGAGAAATATAAAATGTTTATAAATCGATAGGAGAGGTTGGAAGACTATGGATTCTAGTCTCGATATCCATCACGATAGCTTGCATATCGTTTCTGTTGACTCTCTACCTGATGTTCGCGAGAAAACTCACACGATGGGAAAAGATGCGAGCTGCTGTAGGACGAACTTTCGCTAGTAAAAAGATAAAGGTGAGTCAGAAATAAGTCTAGTATTATATAAGTATAGTATTAGTATTAGCATAGTATAAGTATTTTAAATAAGAAATAAAAATATCTTTTATTTAAAAAGTATTTACTTAATTAATATTTAGATATAATAAATTTGAAATGATTTATTATAATATATTGATTAAAATACTAGTTGAAGTAATTATTTAATTTTACGAATATATATTTCAATTTCAATTATGTATATTTTAATATGAATATAAATTAAACATTTAAATTAAATATTTTTTCTATCATACAACAAAATATAATTTTATCGTCTTCAAGTATTAAAATCTTGTTCAGCAATTATAACTATATATCAATAATTATTTTAATATATTCATATTAAACAAATAAACTTAATAAAATATTAATATTCACATAAGTTTATTTATTAATCAAATTATTAAAAAAGAATTATTATTAATAATTTCATTTAATTTAATTTAAATAAATATTTTCTATTGTTATATTTATCAATATAATCTTAAAATAAATCAATAAATACTATATTTCATTTTAATAAAACGATTTCAATATTAATTTTTATTTGAAATATATCTATCTATCATTGACAATCAAGTTACTCGATTAGCGAATATTTTTTATTATGCCAATTCGACGAATATTTTCCTTTTGCAGAGGATGTCGAGCAATAACAACGACAACAACGTGGGTAAAACCAACAATAATAACAATGATCGTAACAGAGCAACGCTCCAAGATCCGGAATTAGGCACATCAAAGCAAAACGGATTGAATTAACGATGCCTACAATCAGCGCGAGCGTGGCTCCATCTCGATATTCAGAGAACGAAACCAGACATGGAACGGAAGTTCAGCCGGAAGTGGGAGCGGCAGTGGGACTGCAGTCAGTAATGTGACACCAAACACCACCAGCACCTCACTCTCGAGAAGGCATCCAAGCGAGGACACTACTCTCGATTACGCTTATGACAATCCAGCGATGACACCAAGCCCGGAATCCGTCCAATTAAGAACGAAGCGTGAGAGTTCCTTTTAAACTCGAATCGAAATCGAATCGATTCGTGTGTTCCATTCGGATAATAACTGTGACAGTTTATTGAAAAAGTAATCTCCTCACCGATTTTAACGAGCTTGAAGTAGTGTTTAGTAGTGTATAGAGTGGTATATAGTGGTAATAGATATGTGTATAGAATAGACTTTTAGGAACGCGAGAAGAAAACTAGGAGATATGAAGCCACCTGTATATATAAATTAGTGGTGCACTCTACAGGCAAGTTGAGTTATTAGTAGTTATTAGTGCTATTTGAAGTTATTTGACATATTAATATAGATTCAATAAAATTCAATTTTGTTTTCGGTTTCAATATCGCAAAATTTTAGGAATCAATCAATGCTAATTATAGATGAAATATGAGATTTTTAATATGTACGTAGAAATGTTTGAATTTCTCAAGTTTTTTCGTTGTCTTGATAACATTTTTTATCCTACAGTGATGGAAAAACGAATGAAAGGAAATCAAAGAAAATAAAAGATATATTATATATAGGTAACAATATTATTATAATCAATTTAATATCATTTTTAAGTATATCGTGATTGATCTCATTTTCATCAGCAAAATTATACGAGGGATAAACATATTTTTATAAAAAAGAAATCAAAATTATATCCTAACTTATTATGTTTGAATGCCAACAGAAATGCTTGGAATTACCGAATTGGGTACATTGAATTGTACAATTGACTGAGTCTAAGATTTCCTTATTGCGATAGCAATCTATTATGGAGATACACGTTGTTAAGGACATTTTGAGGAATTTCTTTTATATAAGCGGTCGACCTTGATTTTTGAGTTATATGAGTTATACGTTTTAATTTTGTATAGTAGAAAAATATTTTTTACACTATTATATAGTGTTTTCGCATTTTTGCATAATATGTATTTGTTATGTATATAAGTAATATCCAACTTATCTTAAATCATTTTTCAATAAATTTTTCTTTCTTTTAAATTAGATAAAAATATAATCAGGCATACAATGAATATATCTAATATATATATATCTAAAAATTATCTGACTTGCTACATTTGAATATCGTTTAATAATATTATAATATCATTAAATATATATATTATTTTTAAAAAAATATACTTACAGAAGAAGAACTCTCGACTTCTTAATAAAAATCATCTAACATACTCGTAGTGTGAAAAATATTTTTAACGTACAACTCGAAAACTGAAACAACTAACCAATCGATTATATTGTACGTATATGGAAAAAGTTGCTGAAAATGTCCTTAATCAATATATTTCAGACTCATTGAAATCAGTGAGGAAGTTTATGAGCTTTTCAACAAAATCATCTTAATTTGTAAATAGAATATTTCTAAGTACTTAATCGCGCTCGTCCATGCGAGAAATCGCGCGACTTCACGCAGATCCTTATCAGCCATTCCGTCCATAATGAAAGGCCTTTCGAGCGAGTGTTGGCCAGTGGCTATAACGAGGTCAACCTTCGCATAGGTCAGCAACGGTGCACCGACCGATCGATCGAGGAACAAGCGCCACGCTCAATTCAAATGCTCAAACCCTTGAGTTTTTTTACTCGTATCGCGTCTTTCGGACAATTGCGCGCGTTTCTCTCTTTCTCTCTCTATTTCTTTCTTTTTTATAAACATAGATAATAGATGATATTAAAATTAAAAGCTGGTTAAGTATTCGAAAATTGAACTTAATGAAATTGATTTTTAATCGAATGTAACTTGAGTTTAGAGTTTTCTTTCTAAAGTACAATAATGCCCGGTTAACAGAATTAAGTTAGAATGTATCAATTATCCAAAGATAATTGTTAAAAATATTTTGAAAATTATTGATTGGTTTTTTTTTTTTTGTTAGATTTCGAGAAGAATATTTTCTATAAATAAGAATGGAAAGAAGTATTTATCTTTTATGATACATATCTAAAGTTTTTGAAATTGATTGACGAGATAATAGAAGCAAGTGTTCAAGAGATCTATTATTAACAGTTATTACTTATCAACTGATTGTTATTTATTCATCTTCAGCAGTGAATTGATGTCATTAATTTATAGTTATTTTTAGTAAAAGATATGTCAAAATCGCCTAGTAAAAAATATACAGTAACAAATTATTCTTTATAAAAATTTTTTTTTTCAATTGCAAGGAAATCTGTGAATCGGATTATGTGTCGATTAAATGCATTTATTTATGTCTGATGCGTTGTTTTCTTGGATCGACTTCAGAGACACATTTGAAAAATTAAAGATTTCAATTTCAGAAATTAGTAGATATAACTTCACGACGATTAAATGGGCAGAAAGTGCAATTAACAGGACACTATCGAATATAGAAAAGAATAATAAATGAAAAAAAAGAAGAAGTTTAAGAATCAAAATGATATTGTGTGTTGTATAATGGAAATCTTCTTTAAATAAAAATGAATAGTATTTGTACTCTGAATTAGTGATCAACTTAATCAGTATTGAAACATTAGTATTCCAGGAGCTAGTTACAAATATTTTTATAAGTGAAATCATGAAAGTGATTAGCTATGAGTTTCTATAATGTTGTAATAATAGTTTTATGACTTCTAATTTTTCATATAATCAAAAGTATTTTGATCATGAAAAAGTTATATACTGCTGTAGATCATTTCGCGTAATTATCCAATTTTTATTTTTACAGGATCAAAGTGATAAAATATATCAAAAGGACGCTCAAAAATGAAAGATATTTATGTGAATTTACACGTTATGGAATTTCCAAGTGCAATTTATGTTTGAACATTTGAAAGTGAATGTTGATATTGAATGATTTGAATATTTGAAGATGAATGTTAAGAATGATCGAATAATTAGTATAGAAACAAAATGTCTAAAAAGAGGAAGCTTTAGTAATAATAAATGGAAAGTATCGATATCATTAAAAATCTAATTCAAGATTAAATCTAAAATAAATTGTCTCATATTTTTCTTCCATTTTTATAGCTCAGAAATGAAATTAGATGAAATTAGAAACATTTATGTAAATTTTTAATTTATTTGTGATTTTTTTCAAGATGCAATTTTTAAATATTCGAAGATAAATATTAAGTTAAAATGTTGTAATAAATTATAGACGATATAAGCAGGCTTGCTAAAAAAAATTCATTTTCATGCAAAGAAACTAGTTGCTTAGTTATTGGTTTTTTTTATTCGTTATTCTTTAATTTTCTAAATAATTTGGCTAGTTCATTAATTATATTATTCCTACTATTAAGTATATAATTTAAAACTGTTAGTTTTGAAATAAATTAAACATTTAAGATCTGAAATAAGGAATTGCTTATTATCTAGTTGTTTATTGTCAAATACATTATTCAATTTGATTTTATTCTGAAATGGTAAAGTTATTAACAACTTTGTTGCAACGTTATTTTTTTAGAAAAGAATGGAATAATACCCTGTCACCAAGTGATTTTTATCATACATGAAGATTTATTTTGGCTTCTTTCACAGATCTCTCATTTTATGAGCTTATTCAGGCAACTTCAAATAAAGAAAAATGAACTGCCAATTTTGAACAAGAAAACAACTGCTTATTTCAGATCAAAACTGTTTTATTTTCTTTCATTTTTTCTACAAAGAAAATTTTTACAAAAATATTGTAAAGTGATGAAAAATGGAAGAAGATGCCTTCATAGTAAAAATAAGATAATTGGAAAAAGATGTCCAAGATTTTTTAATTTTAAATTTCTAAATATTTACAGGATCTTGAATTTCTTTCCTCCTTCTTACATAATGTAATCATTAGACTAGTAATTTATATACTACTTAATAATTATGTACTTAATAATTGATAAATTCAATAAGAGATTCTATATTGACCGAAAGAAAGAGAAACAGAGAGAGAGAAAGAATTATTCGTGAGGTGAACCTCGCTAACCTTAGGATAATAAATCCCGTACAACAATCGTTATAAATCGTTTTGTCTCGTTCAGCGTTTGTTCGATCTTCCTCGTCGTGGATATTATTGTAGATTACATAATTATCGACAACGAGAAATCGATGTCTTCCAACGAAATGAAATGAAATCATTTCTGTTCGAGTCAAAAAAAGAAAAAAAAAAAAAAAAAAAAAAGAAAGAAGAAAGAAAACAATTCATTGTATCGTTTGCTGAAATAAGGAATTGCTTATTATCTAGTTGTTTATTGTCAAATACATTATTCAATTTGATTTTATTCTGAAATGGTAAAGTTATTAACAACTTTGTTGCAACGTTATTTTTTTAGAAAAGAATGGAATAATACCCTGTCACCAAGTGATTTTTATCATACATGAAGATTTATTTTGGCTTCTTTCACAGATCTCTCATTTTATGAGCTTATTCAGGCAACTTCAAATAAAGAAAAATGAACTGCCAATTTTGAACAAGAAAACAACTGCTTATTTCAGATCAAAACTGTTTTATTTTCTTTCATTTTTTCTACAAAGAAAATTTTTACAAAAATATTGTAAAGTGATGAAAAATGGAAGAAGATGCCTTCATAGTAAAAATAAGATAATTGGAAAAAGATGTCCAAGATTTTTTAATTTTAAATTTCTAAATATTTACAGGATCTTGAATTTCTTTCCTCCTTCTTACATAATGTAATCATTAGACTAGTAATTTATATACTACTTAATAATTATGTACTTAATAATTGATAAATTCAATAAGAGATTCTATATTGACCGAAAGAAAGAGAAACAGAGAGAGAGAAAGAATTCATTCGTGAGGTGAACCTCGCTAACCTTAGGATAATAAATCCCGTACAACAATCGTTATAAATCGTTTTGTCTCGTTCAGCGTTTGTTCGATCTTCCTCGTCGTGGATATTATTGTAGATTACATAATTATCGACAACGAGAAATCGATGTCTTCCAACGAAATAGAAATGAAATCATTCTAGTTCGAGTCAAAAAGAAAAAAAAAAAAAAAAAAAAAAAAAGAAAAAGAAAGAAAACATTCATTTGTATCGTTTGCAGATATTTTTAGTTTTAAGATGTTTTCCGTTATTAAATAAATGCAAGTGTGCACATGAGATTTACAACTTTGATGATTGATTTTATTTTCTCTCTTTATTACATGTATTTCATCAATAGAAATAGGTAAGAGCAGAGTAAAGTAATAAGATGAAAGAAAATTGGGAAAAGAAAAAAAAATAGATGTAGTTCAGGATTGTTTCAGTTTTGGATTAGGTTGATAGAAAAAATAATTGACTGTTTAATTTGCAAATTATTAAATTTATATTGACTTATAATGAATAAAATATTTTATTACGATTTAATAAAAATGACAAAATATTATCATTATTATTTTAAAAAAAAATGCAAAATTTGTTTTTATTGTTTCTTCTATATTTAAGTTTTGCGGTAACAAATAGATTTTAAAATTTCTTTGTTATTAATTAAACATGACAGGTGTTTCATTTAAATGAAAACAATTGAATACATTTCTCACAAGAAATTCTAATTATAAGAAAAATAAAAATTATTTGTATATATTATACGATTAATTTTTACGTAGATAGATTTAACATGTAAAAAATATACAGAATATTTCATTTTAATTTTTTGGATTATTTTCTAATTATTTTTTAAATTATAGATAATTTAAAAAAATTGTTTGGAATAGAATTATTTTAAGAAAGATATTTTATAATAATCACAAATGTATAAATTTTTTCTAATGACAATTCTTTGCATGAATTATTTTAAAAAATCTGATGGTTGCCAAGTACAGTGATTTTTCAATAATTTTTTTGTT